GGCCGGGGCACCTCCACCCCACTGCAGAGCCCTGCGCTCCCCGAGCCCCCCCCGGGCCCTTCGCCCAGCAGATCCTCGCCCCGAGCACCAGCCGTTGCAAACACTTCAGAGCGCGCTCTGCACAGACCCGCGCCGCAGACCGGGAAGAAAAAACCATTTTAAAGAACTTCTTGTGGCAGAGAAATGTGATGTTTAAATGCAGCCGCTGGCAGAGATCCTTGCGTCTGAAGGAGCTCTGCCCGGAGACGATGGGCTCGCTGCTGGCGAGGCAAAGGCTGCAGCTGCCCTGGCATCAGCCCTCTGCCAGGCTCGCCCTCGCCCTGCGCTGACGAGACCGGCCGCTCCACGCCAACCCCTGCTTTCAGCTGCATTTGCCCTGGTTTCAGCAGCAGGACTACACGACTCACGAACCCATCAGACGGGTTATTTCTCAAAGATCGGCCTCAAACAGGAGAGAATACTACCAAACAAAACCAGCTAAGGGTAAGGAGCATCCAGAAACTCGCCTCTCCGAGGCCTCTGTCCACAAGCACTCAGAGACCCTCTCTTCGCAACGAATTTCCTCTGACCCAAGAAAAAAGCCTGCAGAGAAAAAAATGAGCAAGAGGACAAGTATTATCCTTGATCCTAAACTACGCTCAGCGCCTGCAGATAAGTATTTAGGAACCAGGAAGTGTGTCTGCCCGATTATATTGGGTGGCAAAAGAGGGGAAAAAAGCAAATAAAAAAAATCAACACACACGGGTTTCTAAGTATGCTGGCTCCAGAGCTTTTCGAGTACCCAACAAACATTACTGTCAATAACTATCACTGTTGGAGTGGAAGCGCAAAATGACCCTCCTGAAAACACTTTTCACCCTTAAAAAACCAAAGCGATGAAGACCGGGAAGGTTCTGGCCTCCACCCAGAACAAGCTTGGAGCGATGTGGTTCTCGTTCCGGGGAGAAGCGGCAGTCCCCAGAGTGGAAACGCCAACCTTCACCTTTCTCAAATCTGAGCCTGTTGTTTACCTCTTTAAATTAACCATGCAAGCCCGCTGCTGAAGAAAATTTTAATTAAGAATGCTGCATTTAATAGCAGGTTCAGGCTACTTAACTGTCTTTAGAGGCGTTAATTTACTATTACGAGTAATTGACCCCTGTGAGGAAACAGCGGAGTACTTGACATAATGACACAGTCGTTCTGCGGAGACACAGGCTGTTCGCGCTGCGCAGCACGGACGGGACCGACCGGGACAACGCTCCCCGCAGCCAGCAGCTTTCCAAAACCCTCCCGGGGACCTGGCAGGTGGAAGACTGATGGGCTCCCGCTACATCAGCCACGAGTGGAGAAGCTTTCGCTTACCGTTAGCGACGCCTGCAAACCAGCAAAGAAAGTTCCGCTGCAAAACCACCCAGCCTCGGATCACGGCCTTAATCGAATCTCCAGACCTGCTGCTCTTCCTCCTCCTGCCGCCCTCCTCCGCCCGCGTGAGCAGCGTACCCTGCCCTAGAAAGCGCTCTGCTTTCCCTTGGATTTTATCAGCTACGCTGGCGAAAGACAATTCTGCTTTCGCAACCTTTTGTTCCTGCTATTACTCGGGAGAAGCCCAGTTATCTCCCGCCAGAACGCCTCCAGAGCGGTGCGGGGTGACGGCCGAGGC